GATATATATATATATATATATATATATATATATATATATATATATATATATATATATATATATATATAACGAGGAAAGTTAATGGGATACAATGAATTGCAAAGCCGGAATTGTTGAATTTAAGAAAGAAGAAAACAAACATACTCACAGCCGGAATGGTTGAATTCTTTTGAGAAAACTACTTACAATTCACCATTATCTGGTTTTGGCTCTGGCTTTGGCTTTGTCTGTCTTTGTCTTTTGCTTTTGCTTTGACTTGTTTGGATTTATACTTCTCAAAGCATGCCATCAGATAACACTTAAATTCACAGAGATCAGAAGAAATGGGATGAATAATTGGAAATGGAATTGTGTAGGGTTGGAAGGTTCAGAATACCATTGGATGGGAGTGGACATGGGAAGCTGGAGGCAGCATTGGACCCAGATGAACATGGCAGAGGAATGGACATGTGCAGCTTCAACCCTGCTTACTTAGGCAAGAAATATAGATATGCTTATGCTTGTGGAGCCAAAAGACCCTGCAATTTCCCCAACACACTCACTAAGGTAACACTTCCACAAACATTTTCCCTAACCTCTGCTTCCTCTTGTCTCTGGATCTTCCACCTCAATTCACTTTTGTGCTTGTTATGAATTTCTTTGTTTCAGATTGATTTGGTGAAGAAGAAGGCCAAGAATTGGTATGAAAGCGGAGCTATTCCTTCCGAGCCCTTCTTCGTGGCTCGACCTGGTGCAACCGAAGAGGATGACGGTAAGTCATTATATCATCTTCTAAGTGAACAAATTGAATAAACATACAACCTGAAAGTTCTCGGACTCGGAATCTTTTTCACCTTCTAACTAATGTAAGACGATTTCGGAGGTAAACTATGAAATCATATCATTAGTGAAAAAGGAATGAAATGGAATGTGTCTAAAATGTATTTATGTGAATGCAGGAGTGGTGATCTCTATGGTCAGTGGGAAAAATGGAGAAGGGTATGCTTTGCTTCTAGATGGATCCACATTTGAAGAGATAGCCAGGGCAAAATTTCCCTATGGTCTTCCTTATGGGCTACATGGTTGCTGGATTCCCAAGAACTAGTATCATTTCAATACCAAAGTATAGCTTGTTCAATTAATCAGTATCAGAAAACACACATATATACATCATAGGCACGAGTAGAAAATACGTACATGTGGTGACTAACGATGCGCCGTAGCTCTACTGTGTATTAGCATATAGCTGGAGTAGATTATAGGTACCTTGTACAGAATTTAGGTCCCTTTTTCCTCATGTATTCATCAGTTTCTCTTCCACTTTGGACCTGTGAAATTAATATATACACCTTTTCTTTGTACACTGGCCATGAATCCTTATATTGGATTCAACAGAGAGTAAATTGACAGCACAAGTTTAACAATGACAAAATGTTATGAATCATCATACACAATTTTCTTTCTGAATTCACTTTTTTAAGAAAAATAGCGTTTGAATTTGAATGTGATTTTCTATAATTTCAATTTTGAGTCGACCAACTACTTCAGAACATTTAGTTTAACTAGTAGGCGCTTAAAAGCATTTTTCAAGAGGAGGAACTTATAAAGAAGAATTATAAGTACTTTTCTAATACATGTAAAGTAATAAAAAAAAAATGAAAAGGAAACAGAAGAATAAAGCAAAATTCTCAGATATTATTCCTAGAAACAGTTTCCAAAAGCAAAGTCCAGTGGTCGAGATTTCACACGTGTGCCTCTATTAGTCCAATCAAGTACGAATATCATGTAATGATTGGATATTGGAAAAGAATAATGGCTGAGTTGAATGAATTCAAGGTCAACAATCTTAAATGTTTATACCTTGGGAGGACAGGCGGGGAACGCATCTGTTTTTCAGATTATAAATATATTGAAACTTCACATCACTTCACATCCATAGATTGGCCAAACAGTAAAAGAGACAGCAATAATCGCAAGCCATTAGAAATAGTAAGTATAAGTCATGGGAATCATATCAAATATCATATAACTTTTCTGACTTCAAGAGTGCGTGATTTTATTTTCCATATAATCAATGATGATGCACGACTACAATTATTCACCTCGTGGAGTAAGATCATTTTCCAATAGAACCAAGAAACAATCCTTGAATTATACTTTATATCAGAAGAATCATCCCCTCACCCACCTAAAATTTATGAAAAAGATAAAATTTGAATAATTGACATCGTTATCACTCTTGTACGAGTATTATTCTACAATGATTTCTAAGGTCTTGAAACTAGAGGGGAAGTAAAAGGAAATCCCTGCCTCATAATGCAGTAAAAAAAAAAGTTCATAGCCCTTACAAACTTAAGATAACTCTCATCTGAGAAAGATCTATCAGCTTTCAAGGTGACTAGACCGAATTAAGATCGCAACCACAGATCCAATATATGGGAGAGTAAAGTACCTCTCTCCATGTTGACAGGATATTACAGAAGAAAAAATATTCACTTCTGGTCTGTATAAACAGCATCGACATCATCGAGTTCAAGCAACTTGTCCATTAGTTCTTTATTCAAGTCCATAGCTTCATCATCCACCTGAAACTCAATAATGTCACAACTTGGCAGAGCATTGAGCCCCTACTGAAAAAAACACTATTTATTTGAAAGAAGGAGATTTTGTGTATAATTTAGTAATCCCCCACCCACGGACGCCAAAAAACCAAAAGAAAAAAACAAAATCTGGATTGGGTTTTGACTTCTTGAACTTATATTTCAGAACTTGACTAGTGTATTTTTGAGGTTTCAAAAAATCGTCCGATTAGATTCCCATTGAACAGCTGAGGTCTTTTTCATACCGTCGTATCTAGATCAATGTCTTCCGATATTAGATGTGAAGTTTCCTTATAGACTCCAAGTTGATGTATATAAATTTCCTTTTAGCAATTATAGTCTATCTTCTCTTCTCTTATATCAAATTGGAGATCTTTCTTGTAATACATCGATAGGTGGTTGGGAGTCTATTAGCTCCTTTTATTAAATTCATCAATGAAATTTGTTTCTCTTCTAGCCATTGTATGTGTTGACCTATCAAATGGGTGAAATCCATTTTCATGGTGCCTTTCAAAGTTTTTGTGCAAGGAAGTATGTCATTCCTTTTTGTAGGCTATATTTTTATCTTATCTTGAATAAAGATGGGCAGCACTAGATTATCTTTATCATCTGTAGGCAAGATTGAGGTCTATGAAACAGCACTCAATGGGCTTAGCCGGTCTATAGTAATTATTGAGCTATTCTTTCTTTCTTAAGTAGAATTGACTAGCTAACACTCTTTTGGTATTCTATCCAAAGTAGATAATAACTCTTAGTAAAGGGCCTCGAAGAAAAATCAAGATCGACTCATTAACTCAGAAACAATCTTTGTGAACAAGTAGTCTCCAATGCAATGTTTCTCATTAATACTTTCAACAATGACAAGTCTAAATCAAGTTTATAAATCCGCTTCCTTTAGCAAACCATTGTCGGAACATTGACCACCCTATCTTCCCCTTTTATTTGATTTTAAGGGATTTGACCTTACTTAGTTTTGTCCCATTCTCTTATCCTTTACTTATTACACCAATTTATAATATAAGAAGTTCCAACAGCATTAAAAGTCAATCCTATTATTCAGCTCGTAGAAGGGCATTGAGAAATCAAAGAATCTAGTTTCTGAACGCATATCTGGTAAAGTTGGTAGGGGAGACAATACTCTGCTTTGGACAGATTGTTTGATGGGTCAGTCAATTCTAAATGAGGGCTTCTCCTCTTTATTTGCACTCACACTCAACAAGAAAGCTCACACTTTGGTTTAGAACATTGATAAAGATGGTATGTTCACCTCAAAGTCATTGACAAGGGCTCTTGCTACAGCTAGAACTAGTGACAAAGAACAATTATATCAATCTATTTGGAAGGGAAAATTTCCAAAAAAGATCAAATTCATTATATGGGAGCTTAGTCACTTATGTATCCTGTGACAAGCTCCACGAAGATCCCTCTGGATTACCATCTCCCCTAACTGTTGCATCATTTGTAAAAGGGCCTAAGAGACTACCATTCACCAGTCCAGCACTTATACCCATGCTACAGCTTTTTGGAATTTTAACACTCGTGCTTTTGGATGGTTTATAGTTCTGCCGGGGTACATCTCTTCCTTCCTATCTCTCACTTTCACCGGCTATATTTTCAAGAACAAGAAAAAGATCTTATGGCTCCGTGTTATCCGTGCTCATTTTCGGACTATGTGGTTAGAGAGAAACTCTCATATCTTCTCAGACAAACAATAGGGCATCAAATCTTTTATTGACTCTACTACTTTTTTAGTTCTATATTGGAGGAAATTGTTTCCGCCTTTTCATAGTTGTAGTCTTGCATCTCTTATATCCCATAGGAAAAGTTTTTGTTATCTTCCTATAGATAGGATCCTACATCTTTTGTTAATTTCCTTTTATCAATGAAATAATTTGTTTCTTATAAAAAGAAGTAATAATAAAGATTCAATCCCATTATCATAGATACCACTATGACTGCTAAGGTTTTGATCTTTGTCCTCTTGTTTATTCCATAATAGAGACCCCTATTTCCTCGAAGTGTCATGCACATGCACAGAAATTCTAAATTTTGAGCTTCAAAAACTTTATCAACAGTAACAAATAATTGACTGAAGAACTAATTCAAGACTTTGTTTTCTTCTTATCTCTAATTCATTTCAAGTTGTTGTCTCTTGTTAAAAAAATTCATGTCAAGTTGAAATTTGCAATTTTAAAGTATTAATAGCCTTCCAACAAACTGTAAATTAAGGATAAGAAAAAACTTGAAGCAATTTAAAGTGATGTGACATGAAGAAACCACATATACGTTAAAATACATACCTCAATCGAGCTTATAGGAAGTAGCTCAGAACCACTGTCGGGTTCGAACTTTATGTTTTCTTCTCGTAACTTGGATAGTATTCCCGAGTAGTTCTCGGTGGAAGTCACAATCTTGTAATATCTGCAGGAAAAACAAACGGAGATAAAATTTCTTTCAAAATAATCCTAATATTGGATATATTAAAAAAGCTTTGCTATCTGAGATGGATGTCTATTGCTCTTTAATAATACTAAATTTCAAGTTTCATTATTGCTAAAAGCATAACAACAACCGTTATGTATTGAAGAAGCAAACAAAACTACTGATAACGTGTAGAGACGCTACCTTTCCGACCTCTCTTCTTCTGTATCATCTTCATATTCTGGAGGTTCAATAACATCTTCCGCGCCAGCATCTAGAGATATGGTGAGAAGCTGGTCTTTGTCAACATCAGAGGCCTTAACATTCACAACTCGAGCACGTCTGAACTTGAACATAACAGATCCTGGATCTGCCATCTTTCCACCATAGTCCTTCACTACTTCTCTAACCGCTGCAACTGAGCGGTTTATCTTATCTGTTGAGACCTCAACAACCATACTAGCACCACCAAAACCATATACCTGTAGAGATGCGGCATTTTACAGCTAATAATCACTTCTTTTCAACACAAAGTATGAAGATAATATCACTGGCTAATTAAAAACCTCGTAAATTTTCTCAATGTAAGCCTCTTGTCCTTTCTCGGAAGCCCTTTTAATGTTGCGATCAAGAATTTCTTTTGGAACATCAAGCTCCTTGGCTTTCTCAAGAAGGGCTGCCAAAAGGGTATTGGATATGGGGCTCGTTCCTCCCTTTTTAACACTATATAGTGAAGAAGATGCAAACAGATCAATGTATCATGTCATGAGTGAGGCAATGAAAAAGAGCCAAGTTCAAGCTCCTAGAGGCTCATGTTGCCATATTGGCTAACAATTTACATGGCACAGATTCAAACACGGTACAACAGTACAACCACAAATCTCTTAACTATTTTGAATGCCATCACCAAACATTTGTCAAGAACAATAAAGAGAATTATTCTACAGCATAAGCTATTAGCACAATGAAAATCATTCACAAAAGGAGAAAAAATAGCTACTTACGCAGAAACAACCTCCTTCCCAATCCTAGAGTAAAGCTTTGCCTTCTTTGCATCTTGAGCTCCCTACATGTAGTTAAGCAATCTAATAAACTTATCTATAAAGTCAATAGCACCAACAAAACATACATAAGATTTGAAAGCAATATCACATAAGATATTGAAAGGAATGTACCTTCCTACCAGCAATTTTGCTGGAACGCCTACCCATACAGACCGGAGACATCCATATCCTTCGCATTTGATTGCCACGACATTTCATCTTACTTTCTGAACTCGATGCTTCGGCAGCCAATGATGATAACGAACACAAGCCATTTCCTAAATTTTCAAAAAAAAA